GGTGAAAAATGGCGTTTGTCTCCTCTCAGATCCTGCTGGTGTCTGACTATTTCTACGCCTTCCTGAGGAGGGAGCACCACCTCACCTACGGTCTGTACCTGAAGAGGAAGGACGGCTCGGAGGCCACGCTGGTCCTGAAGTAAAAGGCCCGCACCACCTCTGCAGGGCCGGAGGAACCGCCGGAGCTCTCCTCGGTCCTCAGGGGGAGCAAACGGGAACTGGGGAGGTTAAAAGACCTTCATAGCTGCTCTGATCCTCAGAAACCAAAAAAGCAGGGAGTGTGCGCGGGACAACCTCACATTGCAAACGACAGAACTGCCGACACACCCGGGGGGGGAGGAAGCGTGGTGCCTCAAAAACCCGGAGCCCGTCGACTGGGAACCATGGCCCCATCTGGGGCTCAACCAGACGTTCAGACCTTCTTTCCGTAACACAAAAAAGGAAAAACGGCTCCCTGTAATTTAACTCCAGAGCCCAGCTCACGGTGCGGTCCTCACCGGATCACGCTTTTCTTTCCAGCTTGTCGTTTGTTTTTTTCAGAACAGCAAGAGGAGCTTTTTTTTTCTTTCTCTCGCTGCTCTGTTCAGACACGGTTCGATAACCACGAACAAACTCCAGCCCGTCGCTACCCGGAGGTGGGATTGCGTGAGCTGAGAGCGTTTCTGCTTGGTGAACAGGCCTCAGACACCAGATGCTACACAACTAACAGACCCCAGTCGCACTAACGCCCAATGATCTGAGCACAGAAGGATCTGATTGTCACTCTGGACCAAGCTGAAGTCTCTTTTCACCCCTCAGAAGCCACCAAATGGACTAGTCACTTTATTTACCCGTTTCTGCATGTGGCCATTATTATTCAGTGCGTTTTAAAGATTCAAATGCATCATTCCCTTTTTGCATGCGAGATCAGGAGAATCATCAAAGGTACTTTGACATTTTGGGAACTACCACTTTTTGTTTTATATCTGAGAGTTAGATCAACTTAGCGCAAATGCCGAAGATCATCCCACAACTGGGAAGTACACAGCCCCACTAGACCGTAGTAACTAACTTATTGCTGCTGTTAAGAAGAGCTTAATGAGCCATTCCCCCTTATTCCACCCCCATTGCTGCTAATAGCTCAGCTAAAACAGTCTCCTTTATCCATAGTGCAGATAACCGAAAAATATTTCACTACTTCAGACTCTCATTGAACTCCCATCGTGTCCCTTTGCTACAGTCCACATTAATCCTAAACCATTGTGGTCGTTTGAGCTAAAGAAACGAAAATGGAACATGTCACTGGCAGCTAAAATGATCCTGGAACAGACTTTTGGTTAATGGTTAAGGTGGAGGCAGCCCAGGGTAATGGCTTCATTACAGTACCTTAGACCGTAAACTCGTATTCTCTTAAATAGGCGGCCATTATAAAGGCGTGTGCTGTTTCTTTTCTAAAGTTCAGGTTACGTCCTTCGGGCAGTGATAAGATGTCACTGAAGGAGCCATTAAAGCTGGTGCAGATGGAAGATGGATGGATAACAGTTTTATATGCATGTCTTGTTAGAGGTTAGTCAATGTTAGCCGGCCACCATGATGCCGGCCTTTAACAGCCATGTAAAAAAGTAAAAATAAAGCAAAAAAAGAGGTGAGTTTGAAGGGTCCGTCCCACCAAGGAAGCAGCCTTGACTTTGAGAAGAACCTTTGAACCATTTGGACACATCTGCTTTAATTAAAACTTAAACTCACAACAGAAAGGTTATTTATCATAACGTTTCGATAAAATGGTCTTTCCTCTGTGACCTGTAACAAAGAATTAATCGTTCCGACATTTCCGCCTTTAGTAAAATTCACTGAATGTGTGACTTCTTAACAGATTGAACAACCTTAAAGAGCCTTAAGAATACACAGAATATTCTGTGAAGTGATTACAAAACTACGACTTTTGGAACAACTTTCATCCCATCATGCCTTCCTCTTAAAGCAACAAAACACCCAGAATGTTCAATTACAAGTTTGGTTTTTATTTCACATCTGAAGCAGAAAAAAAATCTTAAAATCGGACATAAGATCACTGGCGCGCTGCTGAATGTTTCCTAAACTTCTCACCTGTTTGAGAAAAGGGCCGACCACAACCATTTTGATACCAGGAAGTGGAAAAAAAAAAGTTTATTTATTTGCTTCACGGAAACTATTGCAAAGAGATTTATGTTTATTTGTTTTTTTTTAAAATATGGATAAACACTGTTGTTTTGATACTTTTCTGTACATATTAATTTGATTGATTACAGACATTTTAGTTCAGAGCTCATGTAACATTTGATGGATGAGAGAACGTTTCAAATATTTAATAAAACCTGAAGTGTTTCCTGAGATTTGCTGTTTTCGTGTGTGTTTCTCCTCTTTTGTTCGTCAGGTTTTGCTGAACAGAGCTGCCTCACATGTGAGACACGAATATAAATCAGGTTAAGGAAAAACACAGTGTGTCACTTTCGGAGGCTCCATTTAACACAGGTGTCCTCCTTGAACAGTATAGGGAATTTAATGTAATCTTTTCTTTTTTAATGAAGTTTTATTTATTTGTGACTGCAGAATTTATAGAAATAGAAGTTTTCTGTTTCCAAACTGCCAGATGCTCCAGAAAACACCTTCACCAGAAAAGTAAACAGGACACAGCAGCCAGATGTGGAGAAGAAGCTAACACTACTCTAGAACAGGCTGTTAAACCCCAGTAAATCAATTTTTATAGAGAAGAAACTGCTTGAAATATTGTTTTGAAAGGGGTTGCCTACAATTAATAGTCTTTAATAATCCAAAGCAGTTCATAGAGTTTGAGACTGTATGAAACATCTCCAGTTTGCTGTCTTATAAAAGCTGTCCTGTATGTGATGTCAGGCTCTCATGAAGTCTCAGTTCAATGTCTCTTTCCATTAGATTTTTTTAAACCATTTTCCTTACCCAAACATGTATAACTGTGAAATGAACATTCAAGATAGTTACCACTCCCTCTGATTTTTTCAGAAGGGGCGTGGCTGTGTTGAATAATCACAAAGCAAAGACACCTTCGTTTTGCAGAAGTCAGACGTCAGAGGGCTTTGTCAGTCATATTCTGTGAGAAGAAAAAGAAGTCACTTGGTACTTTTTACTTTCATTTGGACTGTTTGAAATACTTAGAGCTGACACAGAGCGCTGGGAGTCTATCAGACGCCGCTAACAGACATTTTTAAAGAGGCATCGAGTGAAAGTTAGTTTTTTCATTTCAAAATGGATTCTCAGTCTGAAATGGATCTCTCCTGTCCTGTCTGCCATGACGTATTCAAAGACCCTGTTATCCTGCTGTGCAGCCACAGCTTCTGTAAGGACTGTCTGCAGAGATGGTGGTCTGAGAACCAAATCCACAAATGTCCTCTTTGTCAAAGTTTGTGTTGGATCAAACATCCCCCCTCTAACTTGGCGTTAAAGAACCTGTGTGAGTCTTTCCTGCTTAAAAGTGCGCAGAAGGCTCCTGCGGGGCCTGATCTTCTCTGCCCTCTGCACAACGAGAAACTCAAACTCTTCTGTCTGGACCATCAGCAGCCTTTGTGCGTCATCTGTCGAGATTCAAAAGCACACAACAACCACAGATTCAGACCCGTCGATGAAGCTGCGAAGGACCACCGGGAGGAACTCCTCAAAAGCCTGAAACCCTTAAAGGACAAACTGGCAGTCTTGAAAAAAGTGAAAGGTAACTTTGAACAAACAGCCAAACACATCAAGGAAAAGGCTGAAATGACAAAGAGTAAGATCAAGAAGCAGTTTCAGAGGTTTCACCAGTTTTTGAAAGAGGAAGAGGAGGCTCAAATCGCTGCTGTGAGTCAGGAAGAAGAGGAGAAAGGTAAAGCAGCGAGGAAAAAGATTGAGACTCTGAGCAGACAGATCGCAGAAACATCGGAAACCATCAGAGCCACAGAGGAGGAGCTGAGAGCCGCAGACGTCTCCTTCCTGCAGGGCTACAA